GGCATTCAGTCATCAATCTTTCTCATCCCTATCAATTATTAGATCATCCAAAGTTCACGATGAAGACATTCCTCATTTGCATTGGCATTTTTTGCTAGGACTGTAGATGACCAACTTTGATGTCACTGACACCCATATGCACATTTGCATAGCAGAGTTGTAAACCACTGTCTGTGTTTTGTGCACAAGGGTCAGGTGCTGCAGTTCAGGGTTCTGCCCTTCAGACTATCATTAGCATTATATGTGTTCTGCTGAATCATACAAACTTTTTCTTGTCATCTCCATTCCCTGGGCTTGTGCACACACCATTACATGGATGACTGGCTACTGCTGGCACCATCTCATCAGTTGGCAGAATGTCACATCTAGCTACTGCTTTCTGAAGCAACCAAGACAGGATTTCTTATCAGAGCCAAGAAATCTATTCTCATTCCAACACAATATATTATCCATCTGGGTGTTTTTGTTTCAACATGTATCTCATGACTCCTATCTAGCTCCATGCTATGGAACAAGCAGTCCGACTCTTATTCATGTCTCCTTCTCCCACAGAATGGATGGTTCTTTCTTTTTTGTGGATGTGGGCATCACTCAAAGTCCCCCTTACCTTTGGGACGAGCACATATGAGATCCCTTCAGTGATCTCTTCACGACCAATGGATCATGAGTAGTGATCTACTAGATTCCCCAGTCTCCTCATTTAGGATCAACATCTTTGATCTCAAATGATGGTTAGTTTGGAACAGTACTATGATAGGTGTTCCTCTGCCACCACCTCATCCAGAGATCCATCTTTTCATGGATGCCTTGCTTCAGGGGTGGAGTGCATATCTCAATGGTCAGGAATTCCAGGATGTATGGATGGATGCTGCTGCTTCCCTCCAAATCAATGTTTTAGAACTTCTTGCTGTTCAAAGGGTGAAGTCTTAAGGTCTGGAATTATTGAGGGGCAAAGTCATCATGCTTCACTCTGAAAATTCCATGATGGTATGTTTCATTTCTTGTTAAGGGAGCACTTGATCCAGGTCTCTGTTTTCGAACCTTTGATCTACTATATTGGGCCCACTCCCATCATATCATCCTACTAGCTTGCTATGTTCCAGGAGTGATGAATTTGTTGGAGGTTCAATTGTCTTGATCCAACCAGATTCTCTAACAGGTCCATTGAGGGGTTTTCTATTGGATATGCCCTTGGTTCAAGACACTGATGATGATCAATGCATTTCCCACTCATTGGAACAATCAACTACCAGCATTTTAGTCTCTGGTACCTCAACCTTGTGCATTGGCAATAGATGCATTCAGTCAGTACTGGACTGGATTGCACCTATTTGCCTACCCAGTGATTCATCTGTTACCCAGACTCCTAGCAATGATTCATTCAACTCCTTGCCACATTCTTTTGGTAGTACCAGACTGGCTGGTTCAATCCTGGTTTCTGCATTTGTGGTACCTCAAGGAGTGCTTACCTCTCTCACTTTCTCTTTGGCCATCCCTGTTGAAGCAGCCACAATCTGACATCTTACACCCATCCACCCTGAAGCTCAAGCTTCATGCATGGTGGTTATGCAGTCCTTCGCATGACATCAGGGTTTAACTTCTATGGTTGGCACGTACTTGCCTCAGTCTCTGCATCATCCGATGATGGACATTTATCAAAAGAAATGGCACAAATGTTGACAATGATGTATTGCAAGGAGGTTGAACCCACTTTCTCCAGATGTGACAACCATACCTTTGATATTGACTTGGCTCTTCAACAAGGGTTTTGGCATCTTCCACAATTGCCCTGTATATGGCAGCCTTATTGGCTACCATCAGATAATTGAAGAGACAGAAATTGTTTGAGTCCCCTGTACTCTCTGGGCCTCTTCAAGTCATTTTTGGTCTTTCATCCAAAACGACTATTTCAGTTATCTAACTAGGATATAAAGGAGGTGCTTCATGTTCTTTCTCGACATCCATTTGAACCCTTAGCCTCATGTACCATGTATCACCTTTCACTTAAGGTTTATTTTTTGTTGCTGCTGGCCTGTGGACATCGCCGGTCGAAGTTGTTTGCATTGCACGTGCACAGGACACTATCATTTTATCTATATCCAGACAAGTCTATCTTAGTTAAGACACTGACAGCCAGGGAAGGGGATAAATCCTTTTCACCAATTTATTTGACTGCTATTTCTCACTAATATGACTGGTTGGATCTGATCATTTGTTATGTCCATTGAGGACCTTGAAGTGTTATGCTGCTTGCATTAAAGCTTTTAGAGGTGCAAGAAATGTTTTTTATTCATTGGGACCCTTCCATTTCTCGGGATTTATCCTCAGTTACCTTGATGGGGTAGGTACTAAAATTGCTCCATATGCTTATTCTGGGCTCTCTTTGGAGGGGAGGAGACATCTGCGAGTCACTTCTTATCAGGTTCATCACATTTCTATGTTCTTAGCAGCCTGGTTGAATTCCTTCTGAAGAACATTATACATTATGCTGGCTGGTATGTGGACCTCCCTCCAATACTTTTATCAAACATTATTTGCGTGATCTGGCAGTATCTTCCTCTGAGGATTTTTGAGTACCCTTTTGGCTATATTAACTGCATCTGCTAGATTATAATGAGGGGTGAATATTTGCATTACTAGTCTCTTCTCTTCTTTCCTTTCTGGGGTCTCTTACCTCTTTTTCACAGGATCCCACTCTGTGGCATGCATTGCCCAATCAGGTGTGCTTTTATCAGACCAAATCTGCATTAGCAACCACTAACACAATATACTCTATCTAGATTGTAATAGGCTCTGTAGAAATGAGGTGTTCCATTAGACCACATTGAGCCTGACCAGATGCTATTACTGTACTATACTAGACAGCCACTCATGGACTATCATGAGTAAATCATAAGGGGATCCTGCCTGTCCCTGCCGATCAGTGGATTGAATAAAAATGGGGCAGTTTGCTTTTATAAATTTAGGGAACCTGGTTCACTTATTATTGCACTGTTTTCAGAGCATTGTTCCTTAGGACTTCCCAATATGCATCACTTCCCCCACCTACCCCAATATTCTACTAGTGGAGCTAGGGAGTTCTTACCACTCCCAGTTTCCAGTCAATGGGGTGATTGACAGACTTTTTCCTCTGCTCACACTCTCCCACCCTTCCTCCCCACTAAGAGCCGGTGTTAGAGACTGCGAATTGGGTCAGTCTCATAAGTGTGACAATATTATCTGAAGGAGGTGCTTATATAGAGCACCAGGATAAATGGTGCATTGATGTAGGTGGAGAGTGTCATGAGACAGATATAATCAAGGGCAATTAAGTGGGAAATAAAAGACAGGAACATGCGGGGAAAAATCAGACCAATGCTTAGATGGGCTAAGGAAAAGAAACCCTATCAGTCGAGTAATAGCTGTTGTGTGAAAAGAGGTAAGTATTATTGGAAATACATTTTCCATTTAAGAAAATACTAACTTTTGAACTGGTAGGGAAATGTTAGTTTGAGTGAAATCCTTTCTGCAATTGATGCATAGTTTTTGGCTTGTAATCATATTAACAATTGCACATGAGTAATTTTTCACCATGTTCAAACTAATTGTGCACAAGTATTTCATGTGTGTTTTGGTAGTGTTCTTTGAGTCACAATACTTTTTTCTTGAAGGCTGACATAATTTGTGAAGAACTTTTTTCAGTGATCAATACACATCAACTTTGGCTCCAGCAAACCCCTCACTTGTGGCTTGGTCAGCTACTGTTCACTTAGTAGAAGTTCATACAGCTGTCCACTGCTACTTCACTCACAAGTATCCTATGAAATTTCCTATGAAGCAAGCCATTTGGAAAGAGAAGGCAATCAGCAGTTCATAGCTGTAAATTCATAAGTTTGTGTCACATTGAACATGTGCTCTATTGCATAAGAGTATAAATAAATTTTGTCAGTTTCCATCACAGTAGTCATCACATGATGTAGCATTACCACCCTGAACAGTTGGTAGACATTAGAGGTGTCCTACAGATATCTTTCCATTCATTCCCAAATTTATCACCCATGAAAATACAATGACCCAATGTAATTAGTGAATGCCTCCTAATTCCTTCGGTATCCCAGTCTGATTTTTGGTACAAACTTAGAAGATGGTGTGAACTTCAGTATCCAACCTTGATTTTGTTTATTCATGTTGGGGCTGATACTCGAAGTGAGGCCAAATGGTAACATTTCAAAGTCAAAGGTCAAAATTCTGAATGTTAGACAAAATTGTGTATTTGGCTAGAGCACAAAAAGAGTTTTCAAACAGTAGTTTGGTTTTATGTAATTGGTGTCATCTGGGAGCCATTTTGGGTCTAATATTTGGAGTCTTCTCACTTAAAACTATTTGACCTAAAGACATGAAACTTGGCTAAATCTTTACACCTCTATGACACCATCATCCCTACCAATTACTATCACAATTAGAAGAAGTTAGATCAGAAACCTTCTTGAAGTGATTGATTTATTATAGACTGATCCTGCTGGATACTATTCATGACTTTACAGATTGAAACACTTGATTTTGCTTTTGGATCCAGTGGATCAGTCCACCTCCACTTATAAATTGGGTAATAAAGTAATAAGTGTGGTAAATTCTTTTCATTTTCAACTTCCTCCAACAAAGCATTCCTAATGTTCTTCCAACATTGGAGAGTGTGTAGTCAAGGTTGTAAGGCAAGATATTAAGTTATTTGCAGGAAATATGAGACTGTAGTTGATTGGAATAGGTTATTTTAGTAAAGGGCAGCATAAAATGTGAATATTCACATGATGTCATCATATGAAAACATTTTGCACATCATGCAAGTTCAATCATTAAATGGGGAAAAAGTAGAGAGAGAGAGTAAGAGAACGCTTGAAGGTTTGTATCTTAGCAGTTAGTAGGAGAATAGTTAGAAGTAACAGTACAGGTTAGTAGTTATTTTAATTTTATTTCATACCAAAATGTTAAATTTTCCATTTTCTTCTCAAAATTCACAATAGATAAATGAGAATGGCTGAAGAGTTACAGCAAGCTAGAATGAGCCAGAAACCAAATAAAAGGAAGTACTTGCTCCTAGTAGACTATTGTGCCAGAAATCCAACATCAGAGTTTGCACGTAGAAATGTAAGCAATGGGGATAAAGGAACAGGGACAGACAATGAAGTGTATCTGCCTCAAGGTACAATTTTTGAAGAATTAAACTCGCATGAAGTAAAAGATGGTGCATCTCGACATAGACTTTTTTTGAAGTCTGTTGACCATGATGGTATTACAGTTAGCTGTATCCCATCTGAAGTAGAAGAATTAACATTACAAGAAGCTGACTTTCTTCTTCCCATATTTCCTTCTCAAGATAGAACTAAAGTTTATTTTGACAATCGGTGGTTAAGTGAGGCTTTGTTGATAACAGTGGGCTCCAAGGTTGCTGTACAACTCAGTGATGGTAGTGATCCAGTGTTAGGAGTTGTGCAGTATCGAGGCTGTGTAAGTGAATTAGGACCAGGAACCATATTTGGAGTGGAGCTTTTGGTATGTACAATTATCTTCTTCTTTTTTTTTTCAGCTAGGGAAAACTGCACATCTAACAAAAAAAAAGTAACAGTGAACAGCCTGTTTAGCAAACTATTTTCCACAACATACAAATACACACATATACTATTATTTGGTAATCTACTGCCCATATGTTGTAAGTCTTTTGTTGTTTGCGGACCGATGATTTGATCTTTTTTTTACAGTTTTACATTTAAGTAAATTTTTCAGGTTATGTAAACAGCAAGAGAGTATGAGCTCAATTTTTCTGATTTTACATTATCCCTTTCTAACATTTGTCACTGTCACTTTATGACAACTTTTGTTAACTTGAAACAAAAAGTAGAATTACAGGTATAACAAAGAACACATTATTTTCAAAGATGTCATGGAGTGAACTCATTAAAACATCAGCTTAAATCTTCATTAATAATTGAAATATTTACAGTTAAAACCATTAAAGAATAAACAAGTTTGTTTAAAAAATGAGATATTTGAATGAAATTAAATTTGAATATCATTCAGTGAAAAATCATAGATATTGAACATATACTTTCCATGAAAATGCACAACAATAATAGATACATTACAGTTGAAATTTAGATAAAAAATATACATTACTGTGCTTATCCACACAATGTTAAATGTAGCACAAACGAAAAGCATCACAAATAACTGCTTCTGGTGTAGCTACTGCAAAGCTGCACATGTACACACATCTCACTAAAAAAAAGATGAAACACATTGTTTTTGCAAATACTGTGTGCACTTAGTAAGCCACTTGCTTGCTTTCTCAGATTTGTTCATTAAAACTAGACTTGCACATGGAGAAGTTCATAGTATTAATTAACAGTTTTGCTATATCTCTTGTAAAGTTGTGTTCACAGTAGGCACCACACAACAAGTGTATTTGGATGTAGAAAATGTATCAATTTAAACTAAGAATTTTTTTAAGAAAATTGATTCACAGCCAGAAAATGGTGGTGAAAATCAATCTGAAAAGCAAAACAACTAATGGAAAAAATGTGTAAAGTTTTCTTTTAATTACTGAATAGTGAAGAACATTATGTGAAACACATGCTAAAAAGAAAAGCAACTTGAAACTTTGCTAATTAAAATATTGCTATAGACTGTGTAACCTTGATAAAATATGCACTAACCAAGCAACCCAGTAAACCTACTTTTTGGGCAGAACATAAATTCCTCAGTAGATAAAGCCCATCAGATATTCATTAATAAAAAAAAATTCTTCCTACCATGAGTTTTTTGCTTATAAGTATATATTTGCTTTGCACCAAATAAGTCAAAGCAAGCAAAGCTTGTATATAGGGGTTAGTGTACATACGTACATACATATTATATTCTATTTTCTAACATTATGCATCTGTAGTTAATTCAATGCATAAAAGTTCTTCCAAAAAATCTTTTGTACTACTGTGTCAAATTCAAATGTTCCCTGTAAAAAAACTATGTTGTGATGTCATATTCTTACTTAATATATACAGGAACATCCTGATAGAGGTTTATGTGATGGTACGGTAAAAGGAAAATGCTATTTTCACTGTCATGGACAGAGTGGTGTATTTCTTCCCATCAGTCGGCTTCGTCTTTTTTTACACAGCCATAAACACACCAGATCAAGGGAACTGAAAGAACTTGTAAATTCACGACAGCATATCTCCACATGTAAGTATCTCTATTCATATTGCCATAAATTGATTTATATAATGGAAAATAACTCTGAAATATCCCCTTCAGTCTCTGATGTAATAAAGACAAACTCTCCTTTTTTTAGGCTTAACAAATATTATTAGTACTAGCAGAAACACCACCCTACATGTGGCTGTTTGTGCTAGTAATTACTAATCTTAGTATTCATACCTCACTGAAAAAAATTTAGAAAAGTGAACATTCTCTTAAAAAAGGATTTTTTCTGAGAAGTATTGCATAGGAAGAGTGTTCGTTTTTTAGTCATACACAACTCGTATCAAAATGATTCATTGTACAGAACACAATTTTCATAAATTTTACTGATACAAACTGTAATGCTTTTATATATTAAAAGTAGTACTGTTTATTGAAAAAATAATAGTTTTTTAAGAACTCCAGTTTCTCAGTACTACATTTAGAAATATAAGAATTTAAATAGATAATCAAATCCTCATGTACAGACTTAGTGAAAGTTGTGTTCTTGTTTATTTAAAACTGTGTTCTATTATAAAGAAATTGTTGTCGGACATACCACAGTTATTTTTCTAATTTTCTGAATCTTGAATTCCCAAAATGTGAAATTTTTTATGGATTCTTGTTTGTGGTACCATTCAGTAGAGGTACAGGAGTTTTCATTACATACATAGACACTGACATACACACTACATCCAATATAGTAAGAAGATTAGTAAGACTAATCAACACTCATACAAGGCTATTAGTATTTAATTTAATGATTAAAGTTGTATCCATGGTGACATACATGTAAATAATTTATTCCACATATACATTATACGTTAAATCAGTCATGCTATACAAAAGAATGAACTTCCATTGACTTAAGAGTAAAAACCTTTAATGATGTAACATTTATCGTCACATCTAATGTTGAAACTTCTCACTGCAGGGTGTTAGCTAACAGTGATAAAACTATTTCAAGTATGCCTATACAGTGGTAGTCACTGTGACCAGGAATTGGATAACAGTTTTGTTAATCTTCCTCTTTTTTTATTTTAATGTTGAATGATGATAAAACATTTGTTCTTCATTAAACTTTCATTTCATATACAATTTTAAATTTTATAAAATATTATTAAGTTACCTGTGCACATAAATAATCATGTGTATACTTAAAGCAATTAAGTGTGATCTTTGCTTTGGGTTTTCCACATGTACATGTATATTACTCCATATTGGTCAAACTTGAGCCATACTGGCAATTAAAGTAGCAAAGCATGTGACTTAATCAGACAACATCAAGTCATATAATTGATATTTACTTACTCATTTTTTTAAATAGTAAGTTCAAAAATCTTGGATTTCCCTTTGATTGCACACAAAATAAATACAGATCAAACCTGATCAGTCATTCATGCTTACTTAGCTACAATGCTTGAGTTGGGGTGGAATAAACTGCAACATCATTCCAGTTGTTAACTTTTTTATCAAATCGTTCCCATTGTTAAACTACTCAAACAGATTTGTGCAGCATGGGACTGCTGTTTGCAAATTGGATATCAAACCTGACCATTCCACTTGTTAATTTTTTACCACTCAAACACTGCTTAGTTAATAGTAAATCTCACCTAAGACCTTGTAAAATGATACCGATAGAATGAATATTATAATTTTTTTTTGTGTAATTGATGTATTTATTCAACTAAGGAGAATATTGAAGGATAAGACAGTGTTGTACATTAACTTTTTAAACATTAACCCATTTGAGATAGTGACTATGATAGGTCACTAGCCTAGGGCTAGTCACACAGTAATTTTTCTGACATAAAATAATCTATACACAAGATTTGAAAAAAAACTTTTTGTTACTGTTTGTTTTTACTTTCAAAGATTAATTTGCAAAGATGATTAAACCCAAGACTGTTATTGTAGCCATGAAAGTCATTAAAAAGTAAAGTTACAACACATTTTCAATCCTAAATATAACACAAGAGTCAACCTTTATTGTAAGTTTTAACTCTATGGTACAAGTTAGCAGGTATTATAATTGTAGACCACCATGCAATGCAAAAGCACTTTAACTGAATGTGCATGGGGTCACTTCAATGGACCAAACCTGTATTGAAGAAGGAAGGCTAACAATAATTCTGAATTTACTATGTATATCTACATGAAATGTAACAAACGTTTAATAAAACTTGCATTTCCAAAACATACTTACCTCCTTTCACACTACAATTATCACTCGACTTCCAGGGTTTCTTCCTTTGCCCATTTAAGCATTGGACTGATCTTTTCTCACTTGCTTCAGTCTTTTATACCCCACTTAATTTCCCTTAGCGATATTTGTCTCATGACACTCTCCACATAGGTCAATGTGCCCTCTATCCTGATACTGTGTATAAGCACCTCATTCAGATAATGTTATCACTTTTTCTCAACAAAACATTCACTAGTAGATTTCTCTGTGCTACGATTGTTAGGAGATACTTAGAGCATTCTTTGTGTTACCTATTTGATTTTCGTAAGAGCAAAATACTTTTTTTTTCGTTTAGCAAGCTGATATATGGCATGAATTCCTGTATTATTATTTCTGGCATGGAGACAAATCAGGTCTCTCCTATCCCACCTCTGACATCTAGCATCACTCAACAGTCAGGGAGGGGGAGAGTCACTCTCAGTTGAGACTGTCAGAGATCTAGTTCATAGTGAGATGGAGACATATGTTCAGTTTTGTATTGTTCCTCTGGAGGACTCTGAGGCTGCAATTGAGGGTGATCCTAGACATTCTGGAGACAATTTTGATTTGCTTTTTCTTGTGCCTTCCTTTATTCTCTTCGCTTCATAGGAGGCCAGTTTGGGATAAGCTGCCTCAGGATCATTTCCTTCAGTTGGTTCATTGAGTGTGCGATGTTTTGGGTCTTTCCCCAATTGCTTTTGAGCCTGTACCTTACTTGATGGCTGAAAAGTGTGGTAGGGAATAGTTTCCTTTCATCAACTGACATTGAGGTTTATGCAGGGTGGTTTACTGCTCAATTACATGAAGGGACAGCTATACCTTATCTGCCACATTTTTGGATGTACATGATTTAGCCTACCACTGCCAGGTGGAAGCATATTCCGACTTTCAAAGAATACATCTGCTCCTGAAAATTACAGATTCTAGAATGGAATTTTTAGTTAATCTGAATAGATCAATGTCCCCTGGTGGGACAGTGGTAGGTCTACATACTTGTAACTTTAAAGTCCAATGTATTGCCAGTTCTTCCGAGGTTTTATTCCTGTCAGTTGTTCTGACTATGTAGACAGGAGATTGGTGTCCATTCATCAATCTTTCTCATCTATATCAATTCATAGATTCTCCAACGTTCACAAGTGACTCATTCCTCACTCTGAGTTAATATTTTTTACTAGGATTGTGGATGTCCAAGTTCAATATAGTTGGCTCCTGTCTACACATTGCCATAGTTCTACTTTCAGAACCAACCAAGTCACACTTAATTATCAGAGCTGAGATATCTATTCTTGCTCCAACTCAATATGTCATCTATCTGGGTATGTTTTTTTCTACCATTATCTCAGTTGGGCTCAACTGCCTCCCAACCGGCTCCAAGCTATGGAACAGGAAGTCTGACTCTTACTCACCTCTCCTTTTCCCATAACATGATTGGTTTCATCTGGGAATGTGGGCATCACTTGAATCTCTCATGCTTTTGGGGTGAGAGCAAAAGAGATCCCTTCATTGGATTTTTATGTGACCAATGAATCATACACATCAATTCACTGGATTCCTCAGTTTTCTTATTCAGGATCATTCTCTTTGATCTCGAGGGGTTGTTAGATTGGGACAATACTAAGATATAGGTTCCTGTTCTTTCACCTCATCCAGAGATCCATCTTTTCACGAATGCCTTGCTTCATGATAGGGGTGTATATCTCAACAGTCAGGAATTATAGTGTCTATGCATGGACAACGAGGATTCCCTACACAATGTTTTAAACCTTCTTGCCTCATGGTCTAGGATCTAGGCTCATTAAGGAGAAAATTGTCAAGCTTCACTCTGACAATTCCATGGTGGTGTCTTGTATTTCCCATCAGGGGGGGAGGCACTTATTCCAGAGCTCTTTGTTTTTGAACCATGGATCTCCTTTCTTGGGATCACTCCTGTCATATCACCCTACTAACTTGCTATGTTTCACAGGTGGTGACTTTGGTAGCAGATCAATTGTGTCGATCCAAACAGATTCTCCCAACAGAATAAATGCTGCATCACAAGGTTTTCTGTTCAATTGGCTCTCATTTTGAAACACTGATGATTGGTGGGTTGGCCACTCATTTGAACACCCAACTACTGGCAATTTGGTCTTTGGTACTTCACCCTTGGGCTTTGGCAATGGATGCATTCTGTCAGGATGGGACGGAATTACAACTCTAGGCCTTCCCTCCAATTTGTATGTTACTCAAGGTACTAACTATGATTTGTTCCAACCCATGGGTTCTGTTGATAGCACCAGATTGTCAGTTACACCCTGGTTTCTGCTTCTTTGGTACCTTCAGGAGCACTCACCTCATTCACTTCCTTATTGGCCCTCTCTGTGGGGGAAGATATGATCTGACATGGTACACTCAGCTATCCAGAACCTCAAGCTTCAGGCATGGAGGTTATGCAATCCTTTGCATGGCATTGGTGTTTAATTTCTAAGGTTGTCATGTATCTATCTCGGTCCTTGCACAGTCCCGCAATGGAGATTTGTCAAAGGAAATAGCACACATATCAGCAATGGTGTATTGAGAGAAGGTTGAACCCACTTCAATCGGAAGTGCCAACCATAACTTGTTTTTTGACCTGGCTCTTTGGCAGGGGTTTTGCATCTTCCACATTTTCCCTGTATAAGGCAGCTTTATCGACTAAGGTTCAATACCCGAGACAAAAATTCTTTGAGTTCTGAGTACTCTGCAGCTTCCTCAAGTTACTTTGGATTCTTTGTTCCAAACGACCATTCCAGTTGCATAACTG